TAATTATTGGCATAACATTCAGTTTATATATCCACACACAGGTTTATCGGTGGGCAAAAAAGACCGCACACATTGTGATCGTGAACGTGGAGAGCTACATTTCATCATAACTTTTTAGTCACTTATAGTATTCTTACGAAAATTCGTATACATTTGAAGGTAGTTACAAGCAATAGAATAACGTTTGAAGTAAGTCTTTAGAGGTCTTATTTAAAGTGTTAGGACGTATTGAAGTGTTTTCATACTTACCTAAATAATTTTTAAACGGTCCATTATTTTTGTTATTTTATTGTCGAACAAATTAAAACTAATCCTTAAGAAGTTATGTACAAAAGATGGTTACAATCCGCTTACCCGTTTCAGAGATCCAGCAAACCCACAAACGTTACTCCAGCAGGATTTCGAATAACTTCGCAGCCGAAGAAAATACAAATACCAAATAAGTTGTAACATTTACCTAGTCCAGATAACTAATTATCTAGCTAAAATTTATTTCAATATTACAATTAAAAAAGAAAATGTCTGGCTGCGGTAACGTTTCAAACGTTACCCCAGCAGGAAATGTTTTTTTGAAATAACTAAAAAAGTTTAAGAGAAACAAATTTAAAAATGTGCCTAACAATTACAGAAGGGGAGCAACTAATTATCTATAACGTTTAAATGACCATTTTCGACATTATTTTGCTGGGGTAACGCACACCGTACTTACTACTCACCGTAGGTACTAAGATTGACTCTGACAATTTACTGTTTCACTTAAGTTGTCAATCAATACACGCTCAGAAAAAAATATTAATGATTATTAAGTAGTGCCTAATTGAATAAGTGAGAACATGTAGTTAGAAGTGCTTTCAGCTGTCTGAAATTCTGTCCAAAATTGCGTGCACACAGACTATAGTCAAAACAGACATTTAATTATTTATTATGAATTTTCAACAAAGGATATACATAGTAATATCACAGTTAATAATGCCATGAACTCCTCCTATTACAGGACACTACAGATTTATCAAACATAAACTCAACCTCAAAATATCTTTATTTTATAAGTTTTTTTTATCAAAAATTGACTTTGACTCAAGTCATAGATCAACACACAATAGTAAAAATCTGTTTTGTGAAATATTTAGCATAAGGAGGTTATATGCCTCGGGCGATCTACAACTTCCAATGGGTTGAGCCTTATGAGAAGTAAAGGCAAAATAACTCAAATGCTACCTTTTGCCCGCGGCTCCGACCGCTTGTAGTTCGGTTAAACGCTGTAAAAGTAGCCCATGTTACTCGCTGATAATGTAGCTTTCTATTAGTTTAAGAATTTTTCAAATCTGTTTAGTGATTTAGGCGTGAAAGCGTAACAAACAAACAAACTCTCTTTCACAATTAAAATATAAGTATGGAAGCATGGATGATGGATCCTTACAAGATAGTGTTCGTTCGCTGCAAGATAGTGTTTCGTGAACTCTGAGATGTGTCCGAGAACTCTGACACGTCATAGAGAACGTCGTATTGCAACATCGTGACAATATTTCTGTAAGAAATGTAGTTTATTGCGTGCTTTCATAGTTCCAAAGTAGCTAGTTTTCTTATATGATTCGCAATATATTACTTTTTTTTAAATAATATCCTAACGGTTTTATCTATTAAAGTGTATGTATGTAACATTTTGTGAATTTTTGTGACTACTTAAAAAGTTTATAGACTGCAACTTAAAAAGTGTTTAGACTGGACTGGAGGAAGCAAAAGTTTTTAGACTTACCACTGAAAGGATGTCTTCTGACTTTGAGCACACTTTAGTCTTGACCTATTTATTGCTCAACTCCGCAAAATGATGTTTTGTTACCTGGCTACCTAGGCGTACCTATAGATAGGCAAGTATGATAATGTACACATATTACTATTTGTCATGAGCGTATACTCATGGTAGAAGCACAGAAAACATTGTTAAGCGCGCTTTTTATTTACTCTCGATGCTGTGTCCACGAAAGCCACAAATCATATTTGGGTACTATAAGGTTTTTTATCAATGTTGTTTAGCTAACATTTGAACATAACCCTCCAAAGTTACATAAACTTGAACATTTATCTTATAGCTGCGACACACAACAATGTAACACGACTACTATCTTCAGATATCAGTAACAAGATGCCACAAGCGATAAAGTGGTTGACTATTAAATAAAACGTTGTTGGGGATTCCCGGTGTTCTAATATTTTGGTGTTAAATTATGTTGCCATAAGTAAAGGTACATTTTCATAGAAATAATACAAAGTAGCTAATTTTTTATGTGATTACAAGAACGTCGTTGTAAAACAATTTGCCTCCAGATGTGTTTTTACGAAATATCTCAATATACTCATTGTAGGTAAGTTCTAGTGTTCAGTTCTACGCAATACAAAACGATAAAAATATAAATTTTATTATTAAACTTTTAAACTCATAATTTCCTAAAATGAAATCTTTACACAGAGTGATAGAATTTTATATTATATCCACATAAAATCAAGTCCTTCCAAAAGAATAGAGCATCGGCGACCGGTTTTAGCATAGCCTGTCGCGTGACCACAGTTTAAAATAATAATAGCATATTTTTCCCGCCATATTTTAACACTAGAATAACAGAGATGAAATGGCCCTGATGACCCTGTAAGAAGTCATGAGAGTCAGATAAATACATTTAAATACTTATTTATATAAAAGCTATATGAGAGTATGAAAATCAATTTAAAAATTAAAGTTCGAGAAACTATAATAGAATAACATGGATAGAATAACCTGATGATCTAGTGAAAGGTCATAAGGGTCACATAAATACGATTAAATCCCTATTGAAATGACAGGTGGATTGAGAATCGGGCACGCCGTCATCGCGGCGGTAAGACCCGTTATGGAAGATTGGCTCGAGAGGCGTCACGGGACCCTCTCATACCGACTGATGCAGGTGATCACTGGGAAAGGATGTTTCGGGGATCACCTGTGTCTGATCCGCAAGGTGCAAACGCCTGAGTGCCACCACTGCGATGGCCAGACCGTGGACACGGCTCTCCACACGCTGGCAGAGTGGGTTGAGCAGAGGCGAGACCTCGTGGCGGCCATCGGAGTGGGAGTTCTCTCGCTCAATAGCCTGATTGCGGCTATCGTGCGGAGCGAGAGTGCGTGGAACTCCACCGTCTCCTTCTGCAAGCAAGTTATGCTCGCGAAGGAGACGGCGGAGCGGGACCGGGAGAGGTTTAGAACTCTCCCGGCCCGCCAGGCCCGAGAACGGGCTAGGTACCGCAGGCGACTCAGGCGCCGGAGGTCGCAGAACGACCTCCGTCCTCCATAACCGCAGGCCTGGGGGTGACAGGTGAGGCCATCTGTCACCCTAGCAGAAGCAGGCCGGGGTGGCGGCGAGCGCGTTGCGAAGCGCGCTCGCTTCCAGGGAGCACAGGAAACATGGGGTTCCTACACGGGGGGGGAGGGGGGGTCGTCTACTCGTCTGTAGATGGCCCGAGGTATGTCGGGGCACCAGATACTTCCTTTCTGGGGTATACCTGGTTCCCGGCTATTAGTACCCGAGACGGCGTGCGGTTTTAGTCGGTTCGAGTCCGACATGCCACCGATAGGTGGTATCCGAGGGGATTTCCGCACGGAAAAAAAGGGGAGGAAATCGAAAATAATATATTCGGGCGCATCAGATATTTTGGGGATGTATTATTTGGACGCCAAAAAGGTTCGTGCTCCCATTGAAAGGTCTGACGATTTTAAAGTGACACAAGCTGGTAGCGAATTATCGAAATCGAATCGAGTCATTTCAAAATACCCAAACGTATTAGACGGTTCAGCTCGATGTTCCTGTCATACTAGTCAAAAATCCGACGATAATTTTGCAGGGCATTTTAAGACTGTCGGTTTGAAATATTTTGATGTTTTACTAAATGTGACAAATAAAGGCACGAAAATTTATGTAGACATTTAAAGAAGATTAAGCAATCTTCTTTAAATCGTTTGCTTCAAAATAAAAATAAAATGGGATAGGTCATGTATTTTATTTTGGAACTTTGTAACCCTCCTACTGCTTCATGTTACGCTCAAATCGTCAGATATTTTAAATACAGACTAATGTGTATGTAATTGACTACACTTACCTTAATCTTACACACTCGAGTATTTTAGCCATCGATTTTTTTTAAACTAATCTGATGGGTTGCCCTCTACACGATCGCCCCTATATGTAGGCCTAATGTATCGTGTAGGTATTCAACTGGGTGTAAGGTAGTTAGTAGTTAATCTGACACACTCGAGTATATCTATATTTTGCAAAATGTATATAATCGAGCATTTTGTTATTAATGTATTCGTAGTTCAATAAATTTAAATTAACCTATATTATTTATTAAAAAAACATTTAGGTGAAATGAAACACGTACTTTTGACTTAGGCTGAAATTTATAAAGCGTACTTAGACTTTGCTCAGACTTACCTCACGAGTTAAGTGTGCGTTGAAATTTATAGTCATAATGCTTAGCTCAAGCTGAGCAAATGCTTAGCATAGTCTAAGTCACCAAAATCCATGACTTAGCGATTACTTACGTGCTCATTAGTAGTTGGAGATGCTCTGAAAAGCCTTAAACTTAAATTATTTTAATATTAGCACGAAAGACAATGGAATTCTATTGTAAACAACAATCTATCAATGGTAATCTATGGATTTTTTGTTTTGTCATTGTATGTGGTCTCATAAACTCTCATTGTCTGTTGAATCTTTGTTTTCGCTTCGTGGTGTTTTCTGCGCTTGAACTCTTTTATACTTTTGGACCTTTTGCATTAACTCGGATTTTGTACCTGCTCTCACGACGACCCTTGTATTCCCTCGGACTAGTACCTGCTTTCACGACGACCCTTTTTTGCTCATCTACGGACACCGATTACTATTGTCATGAACACCGACGATAAGAAAAAAAAACAGAAGCCCTACAGTGAATTTGAAAAACAACTGCTTATGCAGTTGGTGACGACGAAAATGGACATAGTGGAGAATCGCAAGACCGATGGTACATCCCAAAAAAAGAAGACAGAAGCCTGGGAGGATATTGCATGCCACTACAATAACTCGCCTAACGTATCCCAGCGAGTAAGTTAAAATTCTAGAGAATAAAGTAGTAAATAACATATCCACCTACTTGGGATTTTAATAACCTCATTCTCTCTTTACATTATCTGTTTTATTTTTAGGCGAATGCTGCTCAACTTAAAAAAATGTGGCAAAATCTAAAAACGAAGGCCAGAGATGCTAAAACTTTAGAAGCCCAAAAAAAATGGACTGGTGGTGGACCTGCACCTCCGGCTATAGGATCCGAAGAGACCCAGGTCCTTTCTATATTACCAACTGTAATGCCAACAATTGAAGTTGAGATAGATAGTGATATAATCCAATCAAGCACCTCGCAATTTAGTAAGTACTCACTAATAATTTATATTTATTAGTTGTTCATTTTGTTACTATAAATTAAATGTCCAGGCATTGAAACATTCTAGATATTCCCGTTGGTGTGGGAATTTCTTGTTCATGTGGGGTGAAACATAGCCTATGTGATGTTCCAGACTATAATCTAGCTGTGCCAAATTTCAGTAAGATTTGTCTAGCCATGCATCAGTTATAAATATGTAGTACTAACAACTTTGTTTTAATTACATATACATACACATACAGCATCTAGTTATTTGTAAGTAATGATATCTTATTTGGTTTCAGGTGAAACAAATGATGATGACGGTGTTTACTGGCAAAACAAAAAAAATAGAATGATGGACATGGAAGTTCATGTCTTCGGAGAAGAGGTACAAGATCTTAATACTCTACCGGGTTGTTCTCTCCAGGGGCTTACAATGCCCACAACCCCGGAACTAGCACCAGCTCCAGCAAAGAAAAAAAAACCGGAACAACCTCTGGAGGATTTAAAAAAGGAACTTGTGAAAAAAGAAATTGAAAAAGTTACTAAACAGATAGAGCAAGATCAGGAAAAACATGCAGTAGAACTGGAAATATTAAAATTAAAAAGAGATTTGTTGAAGAAAGAATTAAATAAAAACTAAGAACTTAATATTATGATTTTTATTTCTTTATCAATTATAAGTTTCTATGATGGATTGTCGAAAAGCTAATCCTGCAGCTGATGACATTCTTGAATTTAACTGCACTTCATCAATTTGCTGTGCATCTTCTTCTACAATTGAGTAATTGTCTCTGCTTCTTATTGCAATATTGTGAAGCACTGCACAAGCAACAATTATATTGCACACATTTGTTAATTTGTTTCTGAGGCCCAATTGCAGACATGAGAACCTTTTCTTCCAGACACCAAAAAATCTTTCTATTATGTTCCTTGTCCTTATTTGTACATAATTGTAATTATTTTCCGCACGTGTTGTTGGTTGTATCAAGGGTGTTAAAATAAATGGCATGGATGGGTATCCACTATCACCCACCAAGACTCCCTGCAATTGTCCACTAGCCAAACGTGCATGAACACGGCTATTTCTAAATATCCGACTATCATGAGCGCTTCCAGGCCATCGTGCAACAAGGTCATAAATTTCCATCGGGACCTACAACGGCTTGGACATTAACGGAAAAATAAGATTTTCTATTTCTGTATGCTTCAGAGTGAGCTATACCTCTTGGTCTATTTATTTTAATGTGGGTGCAATCTATTGCTCCAATTATATTATTAAGTCCATGTAGTTGGTTGGTTCTACCCAACTCTTCAAATTTTTGTTTGACATTTTGTAGCTGGTTTGGGAATTTAATAAATTGTGGTAAAAGTTGACTTAATGCTCTGGAAACTTTATTTATGATGATGCACACTGTAGATTGGCTCAAGCCTAATAAATCTCCACAAACAGTCTGAAACAGAAAAGTTATTTAAAAATACTACTGGGACAGACAATAGACCAAGAAATAAATTTCATATAGCTAGGACTTATTGCTCCTATACTGATTTGATGCAAAACTGTGGGGAAAAATAGTAAACATTCTAAAAGAATCTAAAAAGAAAGCTGATTTATTTTTATCTATATATTAATGAATATATAGAAATGAATATTACAAAGAGGAAAGATTTGATCGTTTGTTTGCTTTGAATAGGCTCCGGAACTACTGAACTGATTAGAATATTTTTTCACCATTAGAAAGCTAAATCATCCCCGAGTAAAATAGGTTATATATCTGTGGTTGTTGTTGTACCGTGGGTAACACCACGGGGCTCTAACCTACTAAAGACACAAGAAAAAAGTTAACGGTCATGCCAGGTGGTATGACATGATCTGATTGAGGTAAAGATCTATGGAGTAAGTGTACAGTCTTACGAATCTAGTATAAAATGAGACAACTATAAAATCGTACCTGATAAGTTCCAGTAGCATAGAACCTTAATGCAATGAGTATTTGTATTTCTGGTGTTATTGGCAATCCTCTATTATCATAGTGGTTCAGTTTGTCAGCAATTAGTGGCAAAATAACATTTTTCACCGTATTTTTTGTAAATCGATATCTTTTTTTAAATTGATCGTCGCACAAATTATATGGATCTTGATTATATTCATGGCGAATATAAGCTTTAGGCATACGAACATTATCCAGTGCCGATGTGCCGATTCTATCTATTCTAGACAGAACATTTTCAATTCTATCGATGTTCTCCATCGTTAACCAAAACCAAATCCGCAAGAAAAGTATATAAAGTCCGTGAAATATGCCAGAGTCAATGTGAAAAGATGGTTCGATTGTCCAGGAAGAAAAGCCGTAATTTAGTTCGAAAGCGTTGTTACAGAAGTCCGTAAGGGTGTGCCAGGGTCAAGATAAAAAGTTAATACAAGAAATTGATATATTTGCGAATGAACTCGAGACGAGACAACCTCAAATATTGTTATGACATTTGACAAGTCAAATATACGTACGTTTTGTTTTACTTGTACATGTGTTATTTTTGCCTTTTATCACTTAAAATCAATGAAAACTAAAGGTGTTAATTGATTGAAATACAATAATATGATAAAATTTATTAGATTACTAATAATTTAGGTTATTACAGCTATTTTAAAAATAATATATTTTTGAAATACCAAGAATTTAAATTAATATGCTATGCAAATCGAAACGTTTAAAAAAATTTCCTGAGCTCTTGCTTAGCATACACTCAGTAAATTCTTAGCCCAAGAGGACTATAAATTCGAATGCTAAGATTACACTGAGCAGGAACTTAAGTAAGTTTAGCGTAAGCAAAGTCTGAGCAAAGTCTAAGTACGCTTTATAAATTTCAGCCTTAGACTTCTATAGTCCGTGCGCCGTAACTTGAGACTTGTCTGGAATGCGACCAGACCAATATTAATACAGACAGCATATTAATACTCCAATATCAAGCTTCCACATAATACTTGTTCGTAGCCTAATAATTCATGAAAACAATATATAAAATGTTTTTTGACTTTGAAAAGATTAATATAAAGTGTCGGTGTTTTGAGTACAACACTTTATCTATGTTATTTTTTATATATAAAAAATAGCAGAGACGAAGTCGCGTGCGCTAGATTGTAGTGCTACTTTTTGTGCACTCTGTACAAACGTGTGTCTGTGACGTAACTGTTATGATCTCAAGTTATAATACAAACTTATTTAGAATTTATCATGTAAGTTTTCTCGATGGTCTGTCCTATTTGCTCACTATGTAGGGGATTCCCTGCACTTACAGTGTTACCAACTTCTAAAAAACGTACTAAATAAAAACTTCCGATTTGACCTCTAAAAAAATGTAAAACTTAATTTCTGATAGTATTGAGATATTTTATTATTTTGTATAACCATATAACTATTTATTTTTCAGTTAGTCAATTGCATTGTGTATGTAGTGGTTTTTTAACATTTATAGTATGGTATAGTATGGTATATTTGGTAAAAGTATGTCCCCATATAAAGGGCTTCTTATTTAAAATTGGGATTATTAGTGTTTGGAATCGAGTTTAGTAGTGTCGTGTGTGTTATTTTCGGACAGTTTTGTTTTGTGTACATTACTTACTTCATTATCTTTGTAACAAGGTATCTAACATTTCATATTTTTTTTTACAATAACTTATGTGGTAAATTCTGTTCGGTTTAAGTTTTTCTACTTGAATCACTAACATAATTACATTATTGCTTAACTCCGTTCTTTATTAACATATTATTACTGGATAAAAAACGTACACAAATTAAGAGTTCACATGTAGTTAGCAATAAATAAAAATATTTATAAATGTAAGAGCTAACTTCTTTTGATGTGAATATGTGTATATATATTTTGTTCGTTATTGCACATCTAATGATATGTCTCTGAATTAGTATTTATTTTGCTGATTAATTGAAAATACTTATGCAAAACGAAATCAATCCACACGTTTTGAGAAAAAGCCGTTTTTTGTCTAATTTTTATATATAAAATAAATGTGTTGTCAAAAAACTGTTTTTGCAATATTATATAAAATACTTTATTCTACGTATATGACTATAATATTAATGAAAATAATGTAGTATTGTGTAGTAATTAAAGAAAAAAATCAATGTTTCCTTTTAGCAAAACTAAATATGTGTCACTTGGTCCCTTGTTAATGTACTACCTCAGCATGATTTAACAGTAAAAATAAAGAAAAAATCTTTATTTGAATACATATTTTATTGAAAAATTAAACAAAATTAAAAAAATTCTAATTACTTATAGAGTTTGTTGACAAAAATGTTTACTGAAATACCAAAACGCACTTAGTTTAAATTTAACTAGACTTCAAATTCTATTCTAGAATATCTTCTATGTCTGTACCTGCGACAAGTTTTACATAAAAATCATGTGAATAATTACCAGGGCACATGGATCTTGTTAGTTTATAGAACTATTGGTTTAATGTGGGTTTATAAACTTATTTTGTCCTGTCAAAGTTGTTAAGAGATTTTGATTCTTACAGGGTTTCTGCATACTTAACTCGATTTTGGCATGTGTGTAGATTGTCTCCTTTTTGCATAAGTAGGTCCAATTTATTTTGAGTATATGTATTATGTTTAGTAGACACTATAATATCTAACCTGTCATTATTTCAATATTTACAAATTATCTTTATGCATTAATGTTTTGCTAGACCGAAGGTTATTGTTCCATTATTGGGTAAGTATACTTACTATATATTTTAAAATCTTATAACATAAATGTTTTTTAGGAAAATGGAACCTAATGATAATAATAATAGAAATAGACCACAGCCAAGTCTATGGGCTGTAGGGGCAGGAGTTGTAGCAGCAGGAGCAATTGCTACACTTACATATTTCTTTGGTGGTAAATCTAAGAAGACAGCACAAGAAAGACAAAGTACTTCTGCAGCACCATCTCAAAGCCAACCATTACCACACACGAGACACTCACAAGATCAGAATAACAGTGGGCCATCTGCTATAGAACTTATAAGGTATTTTAGTCAACTATGTTTTTATGTTAGTGATAGACATTAAAAAGATTTACAAAAATATTATAAAATAAAAATATGATATTAAAAAATATAGTATTAAAAGCTTTTCCTGTATGTTATGATAACATCAAATGATAGTAATTTAATTTAGAAAGGATACAGTATCTATCAGTTGTTATTAACCCCAAAACAGTAATAATATTTGTGCAAATTGAGAACGGCATAACTAATTTATTAAAATGAGTTCAGTATTTTTAGATAAAGTTTAGTCTCTACTTTCTAATTAATTATTAATAAAACTGTAATAAATAATAGTCAGAGTAAAGGTAGGTAAAATGCCCCTTGACACTGAATAGTTTGATCTTCTTATTTGTGTATAATTTATAATGAGCTAATCAATTGTTTGTTGAAATATCTACAATATAATAATATCTAAATCTATAATTACTATTCAATAATAATTATTTAATCAATGAACACAAATGAAGTTGGTTAAAAAAATACAAATAAAGAATGCTTTGACTTTCTTTTTTTAGTCAAAGGCTCCTGAATAGCTGTCAAGTTAACAGTAGGCCGAACTCTTCATGTGCTCCTGAAAATCCAATCATCACCAATTTGAATTCACTGTTACAAGACATATACGTTCGTTACATAAAGCTACAGGAATTTACCCTACATTATAAAGTGTTTGATGTCATATTCAATGATCTGCACAAAAAGATGAAAGATGTGAATCCATACTACAGGAAGTATTCAAGCACGGTAGGTGTACTGTTTTCTATAATATAACATTTTTAATTTAAATTGTGGTAAATAATATATCATACAAAGACTTCACTTTTAAAGGTAAGTTGGACTAATTAAATATACTAATCTACTATTCTCCACCATAATTGATCCATTATTTCCTTTAGAGCTGCTGAGTGAGTGATATAAAAGATATATATAATTCACGCCGAAAATGTATCGCATACTAACACTAGCTATAAATATATCAGTAACTCAGTACTAGCTCACTAGCTCAATGTTTCATGAGCGAGTGAGACCAAAGATAAATGAGTGAGATAGATGATGGTTGTGTTCTCGCACGTGTCTTTGAGTCGATTACGACCGACGTTTTGTGACGACTGTACGTCACTTGTATGCAAAATATACATTATTTCTATAGGGTCAAAGTTTAACATTACTTAATTATTATTTGAGAATTAGGCTGCCAAGTATAAGAAAAATAAATTTATGTATGTAATTTTGTATGATCTATATATATATAAGAGATTTCCACGTATATAATCACTCATCACGATATCTCTGGAACCATTAGAGCTAAAGACTTGAAATTTTGTAGGAATATTCTTTTCACCGAGTAGAGGTTAGCTAAGAACGAATCTTAAGAAATTAAAAAAAAAAAAAATTAATTAATATAAATAGCAAAACAACGTTTGCAGGGTTAGCTAGTTTCTAATATAAAACCTAAAAAATGTACAAAAACAAGTGTTATATCTACGTATTTCTTATTTTTAATTGTTTTATTAAAAGGTGTTAATAATTATGTGATCTTATCAACATTAATAAAGATTGTATTTTAAAACATAGAATAATAATGAAGTTTTAAGAACTGAATTTAGGTTAATATGAGAATAAAGAAATGTTTGTATGAGCGAGAGAGGCTTGAAGTGAGTGATATATACTGAGCTAAACCATCTAGATGAAGAAATGAATGAAATGAGAGACCAATCAATTGAATTGTATCACTGAGCAGTGAGTTAAATGAGCTAGATGAGTGATATATATCTTTAGAGTGAAATTATATGTATCTTGATGAATCTTATCAGCTCAGTGATACATTTTGCGCATCACTAATATACAGTCAGTCAGTTGTAAGACTGTCGATTAGGGATGGAAAAAATCACTGATTTATGAGTCATATAATCATGCCTGTAACTAATTTACAAAACTACTGTGATCTAAATAAAAAAAAAGGTCGTAATCTTTGATAGAAAGAATTTTGATTGATTTTGGGGGCATTCATCCTTGTCTATGAGGAAATCACAATCACATGTGAGATGCTGTGACTAAAACCAATCATCTTATATATAAAATTCTCGTGTCACAATGTTCGTTCCCGTACTCCTCCGAAACGGCTTGACCGATTCTCATGAAATTTTGTGTGCACATCGGGTAGATCTGAGAATCGGCCAACATCTATTTTTCAAACCCCTAAATGGTAAGGGTGACCCATCCCTATTTTTTTTTTGTTTTGCAATACAACGTTTGCCGGGTCAGCTAGTTTGATATTATATAAATGTAGCAATAATTTCCATGTCTACTTTTTTCTTTCGGTTTTTTTATATCGGACATCCAAAAGACATGCCATCTAGTTTCTAAAGCTAGACTGACAGATAGAATACTTTTTTTTTTTGTAAGTATAAATATATATATTATACATAGAAAACACCCAAACTCCGAAACAAATATTTGCAGATCATACAAACATTTGGTTCGACCCGGCAATCGAACCCAACACCTCAGCACAACTGTCGCATACGCATACGCTACCAACTGCACCACCGAGGCAGGCAGTCAGCTACTGTTGATAAAATGACGATATATCTTTATGATGTGATATGTGATTTAAAATTTAGAAATATCGATATAACTAATTTTTTTTCGATATATTGAAATATAGATATAAAAAAATGATTTTTGGTTAGTTTTTATTTTTCTTGTAAATTAATCAAATCAAGCTAATCGTAAACTTAATCTACTGTCAATCATAGTCACTATAATAACTTCTCGCCTCAAAGAAAAAAGAGAGAGCCAAATAGCCTCGCCCAATATTCGTTATTCGGCCAAATCACTATTCGTGGCATATTTAGTATTGTTACGTGCTAGGTATACAATCAAAGCAAAAGCAGTCGGTTAATTACTCGTACTTTTATTGCACACAGTCGACACAGAGCTACAGAGCACCAAGTCCCTAAAAAGGCTGTGAGGTGTGCCTGTTACTGTAATTTTGTTTTCTTATGTTTTTTCGTAGGTACAATTTGCGGGCAGCCACTTCGACAAGTTACGTATCAAGAAACCTGATGAATTCGACATGGATATAGTGATCAGCTTACCCCTAAACCATAAAGTAGACCCATTCAATCCCGCGAACAGTGACATAAACTTAGAGCCAAAGGGACCCGGATTCGTACAACTTAAAATGGGTTTACAGTATGAAAAGCTTCCCCAAAGGGATATCGACGAATGGCCAAATAATAAAGATGCATACGAATGGAAAGACAAATCCAATTATTTGTTGCGTTCTAAATTCATTGAATGGTTTGAAAGTGTTGTAACCTTGGCATTGAACCAATACGAAGTAAAAATTAACTCTCGGCCAGTAGTGTATGTGGAAGGTGTTGCGTATGTCATTCACGTGTCCAAGTCTGGCCCTGCGATGACGCTGCTGATTCGTAACCATGAGAGAAACTTCAGTATGGACGTTGATCTTGTTCCAGCTTTGAAGTTCCCAGAAAGTCGTTGGCCAATCTCTAAGACTTATCGCCCCATACCTACTAAATGCAGCAAAGGGTATTGGATAGTCGTGCCAAAGCCCAATAAAGAATTTACAGTTGTGCAAGATCAGTCGCGTGCTTGGCGTATAGGACTTCACAATCAAGAGAGAGAGTTAATGTATAACTCTCATAATTTAAAACAAACTATACGGTTGGTAAGTGTCCTCAATATACAGTAAAGATAAAACACCAGCTCCTATCCACAGTTGCCGTTAAAACAGTCTAAACTGGGCTAATGTATGTACATAGTTTTTTTATTTCTGAAAAGATTAAATTGTTTTACGAAAAGAGAAGAAGCCAGATTAGCAAAATAATATTTGCACTTGATAGCTTAATTCTTATAAGGCTACGATCTTTACATTTAGTAGCAGAAGACCAATTCTCGTAATAAAAGTTCGTTCACAATTCAGTTCCGATCAACTCTTGATCTCACCACTATCATAAGAGGTATTTTCGTAGGAAAGTATTAAGCATCTAACTTTGTAAGATATATCGAATTATAACCGAAAAGTAAATCAGTAATCTGTTAGTCTTATTAATACTTTACTATTCAACTCATTACTTTTATTAAAACTATATTCCTTATTGATCTATTATATTTAACTCAATGATATTGCTGGTCATAACGAATGGTACTCAAATAATAAATATAAATCTAACTTCGTCTGTTTCTGCAGAATTTTCAATATATTTTCTTCCAAATACTGAGACAAAAGTGTTGGTGTTTTCGGTATAGATAGTTCAACTCAGTTGTGCGCGCGGCCCTATGTGTGCGTGGGCTTGTAAATATACAACTTTCATTCGTGTGGCAGTCGTCGTCCGACTGCCGCGTCACTGAGTTGAACTATCTATAACGGTTTAAAAACTACGAAAAAAATATATTGAAAATTGTGCAGAAACAGCCGAAGTTAGATTTATATTAATATCAATCTAACTTCGGCAGAAACAGCCGAATTTTCAATATATTTTCTTCGTAGTTTTTAAACCGTTATTAGTAAATTAAAGGTTTTCGATATCAAAAGTAGATACTTAAAAATGAGTAATGGCTAATATGGTATTTTGTTCCAGATGAAGAAATTACGCGATTCATTGGACATGAAGAAAATAGCTAGTTACTACATAAAGACCATATTTTTCTGGGAGATTGTGGCAATTAATGACGAAGAATACTGGCGCAATAGTCCAGCAGTTTTATTTAAACGAATGGTTGGGAAACTGTACGAAGCTTTAATGACGGGGAGTATTCCTTATTTTTGGAACAAGAACAACAATCTTATCGGTGGTGTTAATAAGAATATTTTGATGTCCTATGCGAATAAGTTGTTGCCATTGATGAAAATTTTAGAGGACCCTTCTCAGTATAAATTGGTAGCCAAATATTTGTTGACTTATAGCGAATTTACTGACTACAATAGGAGATTTTTGCATATATAACCGTTTTGCTTCATATTTTAAGTTGTAAGTTTTAAATTCAAATTCAAATTTATTGCCTTTAAATGGGGTAGTACAAAATGTGGTATTATAAAACAAGTTTAATATAAATCGATCAGGCCCATTTAGCCATGAAAATAGCATGCTAGTTTAACAAATGATTAAAGTAGTGAACCTATATAATATTATTATTCTCTTTATTAAATATATATATATGTATATATATATATATATACATATTGATTACATTTTTAAATATATTACAAAAAAAAAATAACAAAGAAAATTCTGAAAAATAAAATATTTGAAAATTAAGGTAAATTTTGGTACTTACAAGTTTTCGCGAAAAACTAAATATCTTTTATCACACGGCGCGGCGTTATCAATCATTGCGCGGCGCTCTAATCGATCTATCATTACAATATCAGGCTTATTGGCAACAATAGTTCTGTCTGTGATAATAGATCGATCCCAATACAACGTGGCCCGACCATTCTCGAGAGCTGTAGTATGGCACCTCTAGATTTACAAGCTGGTATTTAAGGGCAAGCTGTTGCAGCATGTACCAATTATATTGGGTTCTTGTTCCATTCCTTATTCTTACGATTCCTTATTTGACTTAGAAATTCCTTAATGGAATAAAAAATATTTTTCATAGGCCACCAACTTAGTTTTATTATAAACTTATTTAAAGCTAATGTCTTTATACAATTTGGAATTTTATTATATATTTTTATGCACATAGCGTAAGGGTTATTTTACAGCCGACTACTTTTTGGTATCATGTCCCGAACGAGCTTGTCTGATCTTTTGCCCGTTTTAATACCTGAGGGTATTGCTTGATAAATTTCCCTACCTCTAATTTATAAAGGCAGGCCAAAGGGAGTATTTTTAGTTGTTTAAAATAAAGGCGAAATGATACGTCTGGAGCTATATCACATATCGATGTTATGCATCTTTTTTGAGCAATAAAAATCTTCCATATTAACAGTCCATACCGAAGGACAGTTTCGACATAAGCAAAATAAGCCGTGTAGTGACGGATTAAGAATACGGAATGTCACTACCCCAATTCATCCCGTGGGTGTCGTAAGAGCCGACTAAGGGCGCGAAACAACGCAGGACACCAGCACTGCAAAAAGAAGGAAAACTTGACACAAACCCTATACCAACCCGTCTGGCCAGCGTGGTATAGTAGGCCAAAACCTCCTTTCTAAGGAGAGGCCTATGTCCAGCAGTGGACTATTAAAGGCTGTTGATGTGATGATGTGATGACACTGTATTTTGGTTTGCTAGTTTTGCTAATTTACAAAGAGCATATGAAAACCCATTTACTTGATGCTCACTTTTTCAATTTGTTCTTTTCAATTTAATTTAGAATTTATTATTAATCCAAGAAATGTCACGTAATCAGCATTCGATAATGTATGTCCATCGTAATTTAAATCGTATTATTATATTTTTTAAGCAGCACTTCATCATCAGCCTATCGCAGTCCACTGCTGGACATAGGCCTCTTCCATTGCACGCCACTTTGATCGATTTTAGGCTTCTCGCATCCAGCTAGCGCCAGCCATTGCGCAAATCGTCACTCCACCTTCTTCTCTCCGTCTCCATCTTCTTCTTGGGATCTCTTTTTGAAATCTCTTATTTTTGTCATTAGTATGTATCAATCTCTCTATCTTGTAAAATTATATATTGTTTTATGTGCAAGTATGTTCCTGACGTCTCTTAAGATTACTAAAACGATTTTAACGAGTATATCATTAGATTCTTTGCCAGTATGAAGGCTTTCTATCGCCAAACGTGTCTTCAAAATTTATATTTTATCTAAACTCTTTAAATGGAGTATTAAGTAAATACCAAGGGTTTCGAAAAGGAAATACAAATATATATATTATAGTATAGGTATATATTTTTGAAAGCATTATAGTGATATTTTTAACGTAGTTTTAACGTGTTTTTACAAGTTTCCCAATATAAGACTACTATAATAGTTTAAGAGATATATAATAGGGCACAATTTATGTTAATATAAGGTACCTAACCTTGTGTGTATTTATAAGGATAGGATTTAGGATAGTCATATTGAAAAGTGTATTTAAATTGAGCGTTGAAATGTTTGTATCTTTAATATTATTATTATGCAAGTGGACAATTATGTTATACATATTTATTTTTATATTAAATGGACAGAAATAAATGATATACAAGAAATTAATCATGTTATTTATTCGTGTGGTGACGGTTTAAGAATATTCGGTGTCGTTAGAGTCGACTAAGGTAGCAAACTACGTACTACCCCTTCAGTGGCAGTCAGTGACTCGAACCTACTAAAAACCGCTTGCCGTCTTGAGTACCAGTAGCCGGGGAACCAGGTGTACCCTAGAAAGGAAATCCCTGGTGCCCCTGGTGATCCCGTGTGCCTCGGGTAGATGACCCCCCCACCTGTATGGGAACCCCCATGTTCCCTTTGTGCTTCTGAAAGGGCGCGCGGGCTGGCGTGGCGGGAGAGTTCTGGATCTCTTCCGATCCCGCTCCGCCATCCCCTTAGCATAGCTTGATCGCAGAAGGAGACGTCGGAGTTCCACGCACTCTTACTCCGCACTATGGCCGTAATCATATTATCGAGCGAGAGAACTCACACTCCGATGGCTTCCACGAGACGTCGCCTCTGCTTCACCCACGACGGACATTCTGCCAGCGTGTGGAGCGCCGCGTCCACGGTCCGTCCACCGCAGTGGTAGCACTCAGGCGTTGGCTCCTTGCGGATCAAACAAAGGAGATCCACGAAGCATCCTTTCCCAGTGATTACATGCGTCACCCGGTATGAGAGGGACCCGTGCTGCCTCTCGAGCCAATCCTCCATAAAGGGTCTTACCGCTGCGATAATGTCTTGCAACTCCAATTCACAGTTGCATTACCAAGTCTTTGAAGTGGGAGTACGCTATTTCTGAAGCGTTGAAGGTCAAATCTGTCTAATTTCAAGCAATCTGTGCAATAAGTTAGCCTTACAGCTTCTATGTATTAAGCCCTAAATCCGGTGTTTTGAAGAAGTGGCTTTGTGTACCCGAGATAATAAGGAGAGAAATAGATGATAGTAAATGAGAGGATTATTTACTCTGAATATTCTACTGAATGGGAGAGCGGTGATAACGACTCATCTGATGGTGATTAGTAGGTTTAAGTGTATTTTTTATTGTAATTATTGTGAGTTGTATTTTTTTTACTTATACACCTTGTTGTTGTAAATAATTGATATATACTCTAATAAAGAAGTACTATTTTATAAATTTTAAATTAATTAGTGAATAAACTATCATTATGATTTTTTTTTTTCAATATCTATATATAATAGCTCAAGATATATATATATATATATATATATATATATATATATATATATATATATATATATATATATATATATATATATATATACCTGGAATATACATAAACAATTGAAATAAGTGAAGAAATAATATTGTCGCGCCAGCTTATACTAGTCGAGACACTGTGCGGCGTGCGGTAAGGCGCACCGTGAGGATCCGGCGGCTGGGACTCCAGGTGTTTCTCCACAAATCTGAGGCCTTGTTCTATTAGTAGGTAGTAGGAGGCACTCGCATCGCTGTCGAGTTCCGATGAGGTATCTGGGGCTCGTGCTGGGTCGGAATCGTAGGACTCGAGAAGTCAAACCAAAAATCCTAACCTTGCCAGGTCCTCATGGAGGAGTGGAGGGAAAGAGTTAGACAACCAAGCGTCGCGCACGCCATTAAAGCCCCGGTATGACCCGTTATGGAGGATTGGCTCGTGCGGAAACACGGGGCCCTCTCATTACCGGCTAGCGTAGGAGATCACCTCTGCTACGCAAGGAACCAACGTCAGGCCCGGGAACGGGCCAGGTACTGTAGGTAGCAGGTGGCTCAGGCAGTGGAGGTCGCTGAATAACTTCCATCGTAAAGGGCCGGGAGTGACAAGTGATGCCATCTGTCAACAAAAAAAAAAGAAAGGCCCTCCTATTTCAGGCGCAGTGTGTGTTTTAGTCGGTTCGATTCCGATGCACCGCCCTACCGCAAAGCTCGGTGGGGTGACAGCCCATAGAGGTTTCCACACGTAAAAAAATAAAAGTCGTCGCTAGCTTTGGGGGGAGGTGCGCCGATGAGATCCTTGCCTATGGCGCTCTTGATACATAATCCGCCTCTGTGGACACTCATTGTCATTCGTTCACTGGCGTCATTACATGCCTGCATAAACGTTATGGAGTTTCTACTTTAGGCATGAATCCAACATTGAAGTAATTTTTCTGAGTAGATCATTTATATATCTAAGTAGACTGTCAAAGCAGGAAAAGCGTCATCGAAAATTGTGTCCAGCTGTCGGCCACTTAGTTCCTATCCACTGTCTCTGTGTGGTATCAGCTGTGTTATCCCTGTCACTATAAAGGTTAATTCAGAATTCAGATATTTCACATACTTGAATGGTAAACTAAATAAAATCATAACTAACGTAAAAAAAAAAGTGTCCATCGCTTAGTGTTTTTTTAGGGTTCCGTACCTCAAAAGGTAAAAAAGGAACCCTTATAAGATCACTTTCTTGACCTAGCAAGTTGAAATTTATACCAGATACTGAGGTCTATGGTCCCTATTAGGTGTATAAAAATCAAGATCCTGAGTTAACACGATAAAAAGATAAGGGCAAATTTCGATTTTCGCGAATACTTGTAAGTACCAAAATTTACCTTAATTTTCAACTTTTTTTATTTTTCAGAATTTTTTTCTTTACTTGTGCTGTAAGTGCTTGTAAGTAAGTAAAAGTAACCTTGCTTTTAACCAAAATTGACAATTCTAGGTCAACCGCGAGTACTCTATAGGTTTTGGGTCGAAAACCTATATGGTAGTTCCCGTTGACCTAGAATCACTAAATTTGGCAAAAAGAAACGTCTCACAGCACAAATAAAGGCATAATTCCAAAAAATAAAAAAGTTGAATATAAGATACATTTTGTTACTTACAAATTTTCGCGAAAATCTAGGTAAAATCGGGGTAGGTACGGAACCCTCGGCGCACGAGTTCGACTCGTACCTGACCGGTTTTTATATTTATGAATTTCACTTTGTCCGTTTGCTTTGTTAAGCTTTTAAGCCTAACTATCATAAAATGTTGCCTACATAATCCATAGTTCATTGTGGTACAGAAAAGAACAAACTTAATCATTTTTTATTGAGTAGTATTCATTGAGAGATAAAACGTTTGACTCAATCTGTACTAAACCCAGGAAAGCCACGGATTTGCGCTACCACACAGTATTACAAATAGTAGGACATGTAGTTTACAGATACAATAAGTGAAAGATTTTTACGTATTACCAAATGAAATTGGTATTCATTCATTCGGAACGACCGACTTAACTTAATACTATATCAGAACATTCCTTAACTTATAAGAGTCATGAAAATTGGTACGTCTAGAACTAGACATGGAAATTATTGCTACTTTTAAATCATATTAATTTGATGAAATGATTGTCTATAGTCGCAGCGACTTCACATGTGATTGTGATTTCCTCAGAGACAAAGATAAATTAAAACCGGCATTAAAATCAATCAAAATTCTTTTATCAAAGTTTTTCTTTTTAGATTTAGACCTTTCGCGAGTCTTGCATTAGCGTAATAATAATAATAATTAAGTAGCAGTGGTTTTGTAAGTCACTGGTGTGATGATATGATTAATAAATACCTAATATGATGATATTGATCGGGTAGAAAAGGTTCAAAAGAAATTTATAAAAATCTTAAATTATCGCTTCCACAATTCAGATCTATCATACACTGAGTCACTTAATCAGAATCATCTTCTTTCACTTTCAAATCGTCGTAAGCAGTTAGATCTAATTTCTCTATATAAAATTCTGAATAATAAAATAGCTTCGACGTCTCTTCTTTCCAAAATTAACTTTATAACCAAAGCTCGGCTACCTGTCCGTCCATCCCGGACACTAAATATCTTCGCTCCCCCTAAATTACATAAAAATTACACTCGCAATAACTTTTTCACACGCTCACTTAATATATATAACAAAGACTTCAATAGTATTGATCTTTTTAATAACTCTTTGAAAAATGTTAAAAAAATGTCTAAACGTAAATTGTTAACATTTACTTAGTAATGTCGTAATGTATGTATTTCTTTTAAACCTTTTATTTTCTTTTTTGTGTCATTTCCACAGGTTATTTGAGTCTAACGCTCTGTGAAATGTACTACATTTATTTAAATCCATTCTTGGGTGTCCGTGTGGTGACGGATTAAGAATACAGAGTGTCACCACCCCTATTCATCCCGTGGGTGTCGTAAGAGGCGACTAAGGGAGCGAACGATGCAGGACAACAGCACTGCAGAGAGAAGGAAAACTTGACACAAACCCTATACCAACCCGTCTGACCAGCGTGGTATAGTAGGCCAAAACCTCCTTTCTAAGGAGAGGCCTATGTCCAGCAGTGGACTGTTAAAGGCTGTTGATGTGTGATGTGATTCTTGGGTACTCCTTGTCTTTTGTTCAGTGTATTTTTATATTGCTTTATGTTTAATGACTGTTTTGTACCAAAAAAAAAAAAAAATGACTTGTAACATGTGATTGTGATTTTATTCCACCCCTATCTAAAACAGACATTGAGCTCCGGGATCTTATAGTTTCTATACATTTATGAAGAAACTGTAAAGAAAGAATGAACTAAACGAAAGAAACTGACCATAACCAAACCAAAACTAAACTGTCACATAATACAATGACGTATAAATAATTTCGAAATATTTATTTAGCATAACATTATTAAAACATACATAAATATTGAGACCATTCAACAAGTTATGAAATGTAACATGTAAAATATGAGGTGACAGTTGGGGACGATGAGCGGAAGTCGGGACAGCGATTGGGTACCGGTGGTGGCCGGAATAGTCGTTGGTGCCGGAGTATTGACTATCATGTACATGCTGTTTCGCAGCAAACCAGAACCTAACATATGCGATGGAAAAACTAAACCCTTTGTACGGAAATATAAGTGCAAGTGTTTAAAGAATAGCTACGTAAGTTTTTGCGTTGTGTTGCAAAAGGTTTCTTATATTTATTTAGTACTTATATAGAGGAATTATTAGATCATTTATATATTTACATAGAGTGTCGTACTATAAAACATTTAAAAAAAACGGCCGAAGTTTATTAGCCTTAGCAAATTTATTTATTTTACGTGCAATTAGAGTCTTTATAGTGACAGTAACAAAATACCTGACACACACAGCGACAGCTGAAAGAAACTTATTAGCCAACAGCTGGACAGTCTACTTATTCGTCTACGTAATTCCATTATCTTTGGAGATGGACCACTGCATCAGCAAACTTGTAATTGATTTTGCTAAAGTAAAGACGAGGCTGACCATACCTGTGTGATCGTCCTCGTCTTTAAGAAGGAAGAGAACAATTAGGTACAGGACGGTCTTACCTCCGAGACACGTTTTCTAATTGTGCTTAAAGGGTGATGATTTTACTATCTTAAAAACAAGAAAAAAAGATTTGAAGAGTTCTAGCCTTCAGAATAAGCCGATTTCAGTACAATCTGCAGTTCTGCCTTATCTTTCTGTCGCGGGTGGCGGGAAAATCCATGAGGATCTTCTACCCTGTTAACCAAAAAAAAAAGTTCTGCATTATATTAAAGGACTTTGAGAAAGCATTAGATGCCCTCGAATTTTTGGCAGTTCTGAAGTTCTCTCAACGATCTCATCGACGTAAATTTGATCATCATAACATCAAAGTGAACAGCGGAAGGAAAGGTATAAATATAAAGGAAAGGAAGACCTTAAAATAAAAATAATAAATTTTCAGAATTCATTCTCCCTTCTCATCTATTAACCACTCGTCAATTGTGAATCCATCTTAATTAACGTTCTTTGTCCCTGTGATGGAACAGAGGGCATCCACAGTTAGTCTCTATCGCGTTCGGTCTTGAGGTTCGCATTGGACCTCAATGCGAATCCGTCAATCGTGAATATCTTACTAAATCTATTTGCATCACCAAAGTCGAAATGACGTATTACAAACAGTCACAAGACAACAATTATTCTCGGTGAGATCCGACGACGAGAAAATTGTCCTGGCCATAGCTTCTTTGGAAGTCGCAGCCAGTTTATTCCCCCGTACAGAAATGGCTCACACGATGTTCAAACTCCAAATTAATTTAGATCATGATTCATATTAAAATGTTTGATAAAAAAATGATAGGTAAAACAATAGTGTTACAAGATTGCTGTCTAATCGTTCGGAATTAAATGCGCCGTGGCAAAGAAAAAAATCGTAAGAAATGGCAATAGGAAACGTAATATCACTCTTTATTGGAGATTTTCGGTAAACTCTGCTAATTATTAGTCCAGGGACTAGAGCCGATGATATCAATACTTTACTGATATCAATACAATACTTACATTTTTACGTCTGGTGTTCAGTAAAAAGTAATTTAAAAAAACAGTTTCTTAATATGCGACCACTGAGCTGCCTTATTTCACTCACCCAAAACTTCTCATTTTATTTTTTAAATGTTGTGTTGAAAGTTGCACCATCCCTCAACAATAGGTTCAAAGTAGGTTTTGTGCTATCATCCACTCTGTTTCTTCTGCATATCAATAATATGTTGTAAACTAGTAGCATCCATTGCTATGCGATACAGGAGATACCCTTCATACCGGCTGCCCTAATATCTTTCTTGTAAACGCCATCGAGTGTCGAAACGGTTTCAGATTGGCACCGACTAAATTTAGTCTAAATATTTAAACCCAAAAAAGACACAGATTTGTACATTCCCCGCAAAAAAAGATACCGTTTGTTGCATCACCTCTCTAACTGCCTCAGCCACTATCGGAATCCTAGGCATCGTCATATCGAGTTCAGATTCGCGGTCACTTAGAGGGTAAGCCCAAATTAGCCATGAAGAAGCTTGGTGTGTCAGTCGCACATGAAATACTGTTCTCATCTCTATGCGGGGGCACCCATGTACCAGCTTCTTCCTCTGGACCGTATCCAACGAAGAGCGACTCGATTCGTCGATATCCAAAAGGTCTCCGATCGGCTCTATCCCTTGGCGTTACGGAGAGATGTTGGTTTACTCTGCATTCTCAATCAAATTTATTATGGAGAGTGTTCCGCCCGCATCTTACCTTCATTTGTCCCACACGGCAAAATTTTCATCCCCATCACTAGGATAATTGGCACTCCACCACTGTAAGCTTTTCAAGACACATTTAGCCTCGCTCGACCAATCTGAGGAACAAGTTATCGTCTGCGGTATTTCCGGACCGATACGACCTTCCAACGTTCAAGAAAAGAGCGTACACCTTCCTAAAAGACCGGCAACGCGCTTGTGATTCCTGAGTTTCAGGCGTTCATGGGCGGCGGTATTCACTTTCCTAACTGATGGAAAGTGAATACCGCCGCCCATCCCGGGTGAATACCCGTCTGCTCGTTAGCCCCCTCTTCTTTAAAAAAAGGTTTCTTCTAAAATTGTGAACACTTACAAAGATACTTAGCAGATTTAGTTCCTTGCAAAGCCGATCTCATAATTTTTAGTAGGTTTGATTCCGGCATAACCGTACAGAAAAAAAAGTGTACCTACATGGTACCTAAACCCGTGTTTAAAACTTGTGTTAAAAACCAGTTTACTGTTACTGTGCTGACTATGGGCCGCTGGGCAACGTAAAAGAGATCTCACTTGATGAACCTTGTGTGGTAAGGTTCATGCTCGAGGTATCGTAGCGAGTATTTTCCGTTTTTCACACCAATTAGAAATCCACAAAAGTCCGTTTTGATATACAAGCCTTTATGTTTACTTGTTAGTATTTTTAATTTTTTTAATAATACTCGACTGTCTATTACAAGAACAAAACAGAAGTTCGGAAACCATTAGTTATCACACTATATGAGATATCAGCAGATTCTTCTTAGTTCTAGGTGTAATACAGCGTATTTATTTTGATTTATCAACAATAAATTAAAAAAATACATACATTTTGTTTAAAGGGAAGTTACGGTGAAAATAAAAGCAGGTTATCATTATCAGATCTGATTTTGGTACAAGATATATTATATTTTCTATTGTTGATATGAATTAAAAAGATTACGCATAAAACTATGTTGCACGTTATTCATATTTAATTTTTTGTTTAACCGACTCTTTATAAAACCGATCTCGATGTGTCATAATGTTATACTTTAATGTATATTACCTGATTATATAAGATACCTTAAAGATGGCTGATTTAGAATTTTGTTTATATTTTTAGATGATTTTTAGATGGTTATTACGTCAGGATCCAATGATAGGATCTTAGAGAATACGAGGGAACTGAAAATATTAAAGACAAACATTTATGTCTGTATTTTAAAGCCATTTGCATGCATTCGCTCTCGGAAAACTCTCTTACTTTAAAAACGGCTTATAAATTATATTACTTTGTGGTTGCTAAGTAATTTCTGTAACAATGCACATCATGAATATACATTCAGCTCCGTTATCTCATAGTTTCTATACATTAATGAAGAAAGAATGAACTAAACGAACGAAACTGACGTCTGACCATGACCAATACTAAACTGTCACTCATTACAATGACGTCTAAATAATTTAGAAATATTTATTTATTTAGCATAACATTAATAAAACATAAATAAATATTGGGAACAATCAACAAGCTACGAATGTAACATGTAAAATATGAGGTGACAGTTGGGGACGATGAGCGGAAGTCGGGACAGCGATTGGGTACCGGTGGTGGCCGGAATAGTCGTTGGTGCCGGAGTATTGACTATCATGTACATGCTGTTTCGCAAACCAGAACCTTACGTATGTGATGGGAGAAGAAAACATAAGTGCGATTGTTCAAAGTACAGCTACGTAAGTTTTTCGCGTTCTTGCAAAAGGTTCCTGAGATTTAATTAGAATATTTAGAGAAATTATTAGAACATTAAATATTTATAGTCATTAAAATATAGCTTGATACCGCTGACATCTAGAAGCAAATCCGACGACATAAATGAACTTTTGAACCGACCCCTCAATGACACTTTCGTTTCAAAACACCTGTAATCTCCATTTTTCGCATTTGAATTTATTGATAATACACTAAGAAAGGTTAAATATATTTTATAAATTAACTACCCGGTTCTTGCCTAAAATAGGAACATAAAGCTTATTTTTTTTAATAATATTAAAATCTAGGGATGGATGAATCGATTAGCTTAAATCTATCATTTGATTATTTTGATACAATAATCGATATGTAACTAATAATAATGGTTTCGGTTTTTCTTTACCGTTAGCTTAAATCTTATACTTATATAAAGGTAAAATATTGTACTGTAACAGTTTAATAATTTTATTTATCTGAAATTATACACCTTATACCACAAATACGCATTCTTAAGTCCCATTTACACATTGTATGAAAATAATTATATTTTAAGTATGTAATTTGACATACAAAATTACGTCGAATTTCGCTAGTTTATTGTTGGCTTGTGTCAATATTTGAACGCGAGAACCAAAGTGGTGGACTGAACCAAAGTTGCCATCATGTGTTTTCACACAGCCATATGCCAGCATTGGCTATCCTTCCGACATAGCACGAGCTTTAGTGAGCCATATTAGTGCAAAAAAAAAAACGACGAGTCTTCAACGGGCAAAATAAAATTGTTCAAGCGAAATAAAAACAAAAAATCATTACCAGTTACTGGTATTGATGATTTTACAATGGCTTTAATACGAAAAAACAAGTACGCGTACTATGCTCGAAAAGAGTTTCCGCCTTTAAATTAGTGGTGTCCCTCAAAGATGCAGATGTATTAACGGAAGTATAGCGTCGTAGTAGGCCAAAACCCCCTTTGTAAGGAGATGCCTATGTCCGGCTGTAATACATTACTATGATAATGCCTTTTATGATATTTGGGAGAGATACTTATTATTTTAATATAAATAACTTGTTTTTTTATTAAAATATAAACCTATAAATTTAACAAAATATCATCAAATCGATTACAGTCTATT